GTCAGATTTTGTCCCAATGTTAGTTTGTCTGAGTCCTTTACTAACATGGCAATGGCTGCTATAACCTGCAAGCAAGATGGCCACCCCGAGGCTACTGGGTCCAGTTTTTTTGACAGGTAGGCGGCCGACCTGTTCCATGGGCTGAGCTTTTGGGTTAGGACCCCCTGGACGACACCCCATCTTTCATCCACATGAAGGTGGAAAGATTTTTCAATATCCGGCAAGGCCAGGGCCAGGGCCAAGACCAGGGCGTTTTTAAGGACTTGGAAAGCTTCCCCCCCAACTCCGTGGTGTCCATGTAAAATTAGCCTCCGGTCCCCTGGTGATTTCATAGAGGGGTTTTGCAAGTTCAGCAAACTTAGGGATCCACAGTCGGAAGTATCCTACAGTTCCCAAGAATTCCCAAACTTGTCTTTTGTTTCCTGGGACCAGGATGCCCACTATAGCCCAAATACGCTGAACAGTTAGGGATCTTTTACCTCCTTCAAGGTTGCATCCAAAGTATGTGATTACAGTTACACAGAGCTGAGCCTTTTTTGCTGACACCTGATACCCTAGAGTCTAAAGTTCTTTAAGCAGGTGTCTGGTGGCACACAAGCACTCACCTTCTGATGTGGCTGCTATTAACAAATCATCTACATACTGTAGCAGAGTTACTTCAGGTTCCTGTTGCCAGAAGGCTCAGAGGTCTCGGTGGAGGGCTTCATCAAACAGTGTGGGAGAGTTTTTAAATCCTTGTGGGAGTTGTGTCCAGGTTAATTGGCCATTTTCTCCTTTTTCAGGATCTGTCCATTCAAAGACAAACAAGGGTTGGCTCTGCTTAGCCAGTGGGATGCTGTAGAAGGCATCCTTAAGATCCAGGACCATGTATACCTGCCTTTCTGGAGTTAACCCACTGAGGAGGGTGTACCAGCTGGGGACTGTGGGATGGATCTCCTCCACTCACCTGTTGACCTCCCTGAGGTCCTGGACTGGGTGGTAGTCTCCTGTACCCGCCTTTTTGACAGGAATAAGTGGGGTGTTCCAGGATGAGTGGCACAGCACTAGGATTTTAGCCTCCTGGAGATGCTGGATGTGAATTGCTATGCCTTTTCAGGCCTCTGGGTATATAGGGTATTGTTTCACCCTAATGGGCGTTGCCTGACTTTTGAGCTGTACACCGACCGGCGGCTGATGGGATGCCAGCCCAGGGGGGTTTGATTTGGCCCAGACTTGGGGAAACTTAGTCTGCAGCTGAGCTAGCAGTATGGTGTTTGAAGAGTCAAGAGGGACCCCAACTTCTGTAAACACGTATTCCTCACTTAGGGAACAGTAACAAGAATTTTTGATGTCTCTGGTGGGTTTAGGCTTACTGCTAATGTGGTTTCTTGAAAGCCTATATTGGCTTTAAGCTTGTGTAAGAGGTCTTGTCCCAGGAGCGGGTACAGATAATCTGGCATTACTAGGAACGAATGAGTTACTTCCCCCTTTCCCAAGTTTACTGTTCTTTCGGTGGTCTAGGGCATAATTGGGTCCCGGTTGCCCTCTGAACCAAGGAGTGCTTATCTGAAGCGGGCTGTTGTACTTTTGGAGGACTGAATGCTCAGCCCCTGTGTCCACTAGGAAGGGGACAGGATTTCCCCTACCGTAAGTTTCACCCTGGGCTCCGGGAGGGAATTGACAGAGCCCTAGCTCCATCAGTCAGTCTGTAATTGAAGCACAGGAATAGATTTTGATGGGCATTCCCCCAGAGGACACTCTTGTGGTCGGGGTGACCTGTCTGAACAGTCTTTTAGCCAGTGTCCAAACTTCTTACAGTAGGCATATTGATTTTTTGCTATTGGAGTTTTTCTCCTGGTGCCGGTCACTCCTTTCCCTTTGGCTGCTTGGATTTAACTTCCTGCAAAGCTGCCGCCACTACTTTGACCATTCTTATGGTTTGCTTGTCTTCAAGAGAGTCCCTGCTATTATAGACCTTTTGAGCTACCTCGGCTAACTCTGACAAACTTTTTCCTTCAAATCCTTCAATTTTCTGCAATTTCTTTCTTATACCAGGTACCGACTGGGAGACAAAGGCTATAACTAAAGCTTTCCGATTTTCTGGAGCCTCTGGTCTATGGGGGTGTACGTCTGATAGGCCTCCATAAGGCATTCCAGAAAAGCTGTGGGAGATTCCTGTGGGCCCTGAATCACCTCACTTACCTTAGACAAATTTGTGGGGTGCCTAGTGGTGGCCTGGAGACCCCCCATTAGAATCCGGCGATAGGTGGTGAGACACTCCCTACCATGATCGGTGTTAGGGTTCCAATTAGGTCTCTCAGCAGGGAAGACATGGTCCAAATGGGCCTGCTCTGACAGTCTGCCATCTGGTCCCAGGACCAATTTTCTTGCTTTCTGATAGATTCACTCTCTTTCCTCCAAAGTGAGAAGGAGCTTGGAGGAGCTGTTGGCAGTCATCCCATGTGGGCTGGTGGGTGAAGAAAATAGTCTCTAAAAGACCTATGAGGCTCTGAGGTTTTTCAGAGAATGGCGAGTTTTGGTGGTTCTCATTGTAAAGGTCACCAGTAGAGAAAGGGACATAAACCATAAAGGGCTGGCCTCCCGAACCTCCTGCATCCAACCCCAGGGCCTGTCTTAGGGGGAGGACTGTTGATGTTTGTGGTTCTGAGTTCCCCGAAGATGAGTCGGGGCTAGTTGGCTTATCGGGGGTCGTTGGGCCCTTGGGGGATGCATGGGGAAGAGGGGCATAAAGGGGCTGATACGAGGATCCTCTCCTGGTGTGTGATGTGTTGAGAACCTTGTGGGTCCCCTGCTCCCACCCAGATGCAGAGTAGGGTGGGGGAATTTCATCATCCTCTGGCGGGCTCTGGAAGACCGGAGGATTGGCTTTTGGAGTTTCCTCTAGGGCTAAAACACGAGAATAATTAGCTTTCTTTTTGGCTTTCTTTATCCATGATGGCTGCTGCATTACCAGGAGGTACCAGCAGCGATGTATGGGATCTGGTTCGGGTTGCACCGATAGATGAACTGTTGGACCTTCCCTACTATGGCAGGGTTGAAGGTCCCCTCTGGCAGCCAGCTGCAATTAGGAAATGTGGGCCACTTGAGGGAACAAAAGTTGGTTATGTTTCCTTGGATTACCTGATAACCCGACTGCTGTGCCACTCCTTGGAAATCCTTGAAGTGGCATAAAACCAAATGCAGAGGGGTGTCAGACTGAGAGCACTGCTGCCCCATAATATCATCAGCAATGACAGACACAGCAGTAACTAACACCAAACAAATAAAGACAATAATACAGACTGAAAAGACAGACCTAACTGCTCAAAGGCAATACCGGAGGACCCAGGAATCGGTGCTGTGTCCAGCTTTCCTTTGGGTCCAAACAGAAGTACACATAATCAGAAAACAGGAATATGACTCACCTCTCTGAGGACTCAGGGACCGTTGTGAGTCTGCCAGAGATGACAATTAGCCATTTGCGAGTACATGGACTCGTCAGGCCCAATGAACACCGAGGTCCGTGGGAATGCAGACCCACAAGATCAGCTGGTGTTTTGTGACTGGGGTCAAGCTCTTGGATATCCTGGACAAGTCCCTATATGAAGTAGGGTCTGAGCGCTTAATCCACAGACACCAACACCAACATTTCCGGTTAAAGGAGAGGCTTATTAGCCAAAACTGGCAACCGCTTGCTTGGACAATGCAAGTCCCAGTGCAAGGGCCCCGACCTACAGCATGGGGTGGTTCAAGTAGGGCAAAACCACATCCTGGCAAGGCCTGGCTCATTGGGACTTTCCAAGCGAGCCAAACCACAGCATCCTGGAGGCCTAGGTACTTTCCAAGCAATGCTAGCAGGGTTTACAGAAGCAGAAAAAAGCTGTTAGACAGTTTAACAATAACCAGCAGGTGCTGTTTCTAGTTTCCAGGAAGAAGCTGTGTGAAAGGTTAAGTATATACTTGGCTTGACTTTTAACATTTTATTTTATTACATTTTCTCAGGCCCCTTCCACACTCCCACAGTGGGAGGGGACCCGAAGGGGTTGCCCTGATGTCTTTAATTTCAAGATAATTCTCTTACCTGTTGGAGTGCATTGCCTCTTCTTATTCTCCTTCACATATATTTTGGACTTAGTTTTTTCATTTGCATCTAGAATCAGTTTTTAAAGTTCCCTCACAAAACCTATTAAAATTATATATGTATTTTTATATTGATTTTGTAGAATTGATGATTTTATATTTAATCTGTTTTAAATTAAAGTTTTATTTTTCTTCATCAGATTATGTCTTTTCAGGTCACTGTTTCTTAGGGTTTTAGATTGGTAGAACATATAGATTGGTTTTGAGAGAATTGGAGAAAGTGATAATTTTAGATTACTGATTTCTTTTTTTAAAAGTTTCTTTATTTCTATTTATTCATTTATGCAAAGATCATATCAGCTATAGGTAGCAAACACATTTTTAAGTTTAAAATTAATTTTCCATTTTGAAAGGTTCAGAACTTTTTTTTACTTTACTTTTTTAGATACTTCAACAAAATAACAGACAATAAAAGTTTATACCCTAACTTTCCCAGATTATCAATTTCTTTAGTCATGTAGATCTGTATTGCCTTTTTTCTTTCTTTTTTTTCCTGAGACAGGGTCTTACTCTGTTGCCCATTCTATAGTGCAGTGGCACGGTCATGGCTTGCCACAGTCTCTAACGTTTGAGCTCAAGCAGTCCTCCTGCATCAACCTTTTAAGTAACTGAGATTACAGGCATGTGCCACCACACCCTACTAAGTTCTTTATTTTTTGCAGAGATGAGGGCTCACTATGTTGCCCAGGCTGGTCTCACATTCCTGGTCTTAAGTGACCCTCCCTTCACCTCCCAAAGTGCTGGGAATACAGGTGTGAGCCACTATACCGATCTTTTGTTGTCATTAAATAAAGATTAATATCTTCTTGTTCTCACTGAAATGGTGATTTCATGCCTTCTATGTTGCCATCCTTATATCTTTTGTGTTCTGTTTTTTTTAGGTGACAGCGCAGAACCCAGTACCACAGAGCCTCCCTCTTGTCACTTCACCTTGCCTGAAAAAGTCTCACTCCAGGAACAATTGACACAGGGAGCCTCAAGGGACTCCCAACTAGGCCAAGCCAAGGTTCAGGATGGACCATCTGAAATGCAGGAAGGCCTCATGATACCAGAGATAGACTCGCAGAGGGAAGAGTTTCATGGGAAAATGAGTTCTGAACATGAAGGTTTGGTGACAGCTGATGATGTTTGTTCAGTGATTATACAGAAGCCAATCTCACCAGAAGCTATTCTCTGTGTATGTGACACATGTGGAGCAGTGACAGATCCCTTGATTCATGAAGGGAAAAATTCCTATAAATGTGAGGAATGTGGCAACATATTTAACAAGAATTGCTTCCTTGTTCAACAGCAGATTGACACTCAAGTGAAGCCCTATGCATGCACAGAATGTGGGAAAGTCTTTAGCCAGAGCAAGCACCTGCTTCAGCACCGCATCATCCATTCTGGGAAGAAGCCCTATAAGTGCACAGAGTGTGGGAAGGACTTTTACCGTAGATCACACCTCACACGGCATGAGCAGACTCACATGGAAGAGAAGCCCCTTGTGTGTGGCGAATGTGGAAAAGCCTTCAATCGTGGGTCACATCTTACACGGCACCAGAGGGTTCACAGTGGAGAGAAGCCTTATAAGTGCAATTACTGTGGAAGGGCCTTTACCTACCACTCTAATTTTGTCTTGCATAGCAGGATCCACACTGAGAAAAAACCCTTTGAGTGCAACCAATGTGGAAAAGGTTTTTGTGAGAGTGCAGGTCTCATTCAACACTACATTATTCACACTGGGGAGAAACCTTATAAGTGCATGGAATGTGGGAAGGCCTTCAACTGCAGGTCACACCTCAAGCAGCACCAGCGAATTCACACTGGGGAGAAGCCTTATGTGTGCAGTGAATGTGGGAAGGCTTTTACCCACTACTCTACTTATATCTTGCATGAAAGAGCCCACACTGGAGAAAAACCTTTTGCGTGCAAAGAATGCGGAAAAGCCTTTAGCATTCGGAAAGACCTCCTTCGACACTTCCTCATCCATTCTGGAGAGAAGCCCTATGAGTGCCTGGAGTGTGGAAAGGCCTTCACCCGCATGTCAGGCGTCACAAGGCACCAGTGGATTCATACTGGAGTGAAGCCCTATGAGTGTATTGAATGTGGGAAAGCTTTTTGCAGGAGCACAAACCTCACTCGACATTTCAGCATCCACACTGGAGAGAAGCCCTATGAGTGCATCGAGTGTGGGAAGGCCTTCAACCGCAGGTCACCTCTCACAAGGCACCAGCGGATTCATGCTGGAGAGAAGTCCTATGAACACGTCCAGAGTGAGAGTGTTTCTTGCCAGAGCTCAAACCTCATTGAACACTCTATCATCCACACTGACAGTAGTCCATTGAATATAGAAGGGCCTTCAGTTGTAGATCATCCCTCATTGGACATCACAGGATTCATACTGGGAGAAACCCTATCAGTGTAACAGATGTGGGAAGACATTTTACAAGTTGACAGAATTCAGTCAACCTGCAAGACTTCCTATTAGAGAAATGTTTTTTTAATGTAAACACTGAAGAAAATCTGTGGTGAGAGGAAGCATCTTACTCAACATCTGGCCTCATTCATACTGAAGAGAAACTCCATAAGTTACAAAGGAGATCAGGATGTACATATGAATGAACACTTATAGTGTACATTTAAGATTCTGATTCATGTCTATGAGCAAACCTCTTGTAGATCATTATTTGTCATTAAATAGTCATACTAGAAATTGACCCAGTGCAGAGTCATATTCTAGTCATGAATTTGACAATTCACCCATGAGAGAGACTTAGTGGATATTGTGGTGCATGTAGGAAAACCACATCTTTCATAGTGTACAAGAAATATTGTCTCTAAGATATTTAAACAAAGGAAGAGAGACATAGTGAAGAGAAAGAAATGAACGCCTAATTTCTTTCATACTTCCCTGACAAACCTATGAAACTTTGTCATCTCTTCTTTATTTTATTTGGAGAAAGGGAAGTGTTACAGAAAAAAAAAAATGACCTTGTCCCCTTTATTCTTCATGGTTGTTCATACAGTGTTGTCCAGTGTCGGGACAACTAGACAAATGTGGGGTTTGTTTGAAGATACTTTGTGAAAGCCTGCTTTGTTCCACAACATTGTCTCTACTCTTAAACAACAGGTAGGAGCATGAATCTTTATGAAAAATATGAAGGCTTGAGTTACAAAGGAGATCAGGATGTACATATGAACGGACACTTATAGTGCACATTTAAGATTCTGTTTTTTTAAAAAAACAAACCCTTTATGTGTCTTTAACCACTCAATACACATACTTTTTCTTGATCTGTGTCTACTTGTTTACTACTCTTTTCTTTATGTTTCTGTAGAAGGAGAATGTAGTGTAATGCTTGTATTCAGGGTTACCTAATTCTTTCCACTGATTGTGGTTTCTTAGCTTCTTTTCGTCTTTTTATAGAGACTTCAAAGTCCACCTCAACACTTTTCTAAAGGCCAAATTAAAGCCAAAATTAAAAATGTAAGAATTTTAAACATTTTTTCAATTATGTTTTTAAATTTTTTGTATTTTCTTGTAGAGATGAGATCTCACTATGTTTCCCAGGCTGGTCTGAACTCCTGGACTTAAGTAATCCTCCTGCTTCAGCCTTCCAAAGTGCATGAATTATAGGTGTGAGCCACTGCACCCAATTACATTTTTGTTGTTGTTGGTTTGTTTGTTTTTTGAGTTGGAGTCTCACTCTGTCGCCGAGACTGGAGTGCAGTGGCCGCTCCCGGCCACCGCAGCCTCGACCTGCTGGGCTCCGGCGATCCTTCCGCCTCAGTCTTCCAAGTAGCCAGAATTACAGGCATGCGCTACCACGCCCGGCTGATTTTTTTATTTTATTGTAGAGATAAGGTCTCACTGCCCAGGCGGGTCTCGAACCCGCAGGCTCTGACAGTCCACTCACCTCAGCCTCCCAAAGGCGCAGGATTACAGGCTGAGCCACCGGACCTGGCTGGTTTGTTTGTTTTTTGAGTCAGGTCTGTTTTTTGAAGTGCAGCAAACTATCCTGGGCTCAGGCAATTTTTCTGCCTCTGCCTTCCAAGTAGCAAGAACTACAGGCGCACACCATTACACCTGGCTAATATTTTTATTTTTTTGTAGAGATGAGGTCTCACTATATTGCTCAGGCTGACCTTAAATTCCTGGGCTTAAGTAATCCTTGGCCTCCAAATTGCTGAGATTACATGTGTGAGCCAGTGCACCTTGCCAAAGATTTTTATATATTTATTTTGTATCCTGCAATTTCACTGAATTTGTTTTTCAGTTCTTAGTGGATTTTGGTTCTGCTTTTAGGGTTTTCTTTTTTTTGAGTCAAGAATCTCACTCTGTCACCTAGGCTGGAGTACAGTGGCATGCTCACGGCCACCACAGCTTCAACCTGCTGTGCTCGGGCAATCCTTCTGCCTCAGTCTTCCAAGTAGCTGGAACTACAGGTGCATGCTACCATGTCCGGCTAATTTTTTTATATATATATTATAGAGATGAGGTCTTACCAAGTTGCCCAGACTGGTCTCGAACCAAAGTGCTGGGATTACAGACTTGAGCCACCACGCCTGGCAGAATTTTCTTTATATGTGATTATTTCATCTACATACAGGGGCAATTTGACTTCCTGTTTTCCAGTTGAGATGCACTTTTTTTTCTTTCTCTTACCCTCTTGATCTTGCTAGGATTTTTTGTACTTTGTTGAATAAAGGGTAAAATGGGCATCCTTGTTTTGTTTTTTGGAGAGAAATCTGTCAGCTCTTTCCTGTTAAGTATAATGCTATCTGTGGGTTTGTTACTTATGGCCTTTATTATTATTATTATTATTATTATTATTATTATTATTATTATTTGAGTTGGAGTCTCACTCTGTTGCCCAGACTGGAGTGCAGTGGCCTCTCCCGGTCACTGCATCCTCGACCTGCTGGGCTCCGGTGATCCTTCCGCCTCAGCCTTCCGAGTAGCTGGAATTACAGGCACGTGCTACCATGCCCATCTGATTTTTTAATTTATTGTAGAGATGAGGTCTCACCAAATTTCCCAGGCAGGTCTCGAACCTGCGGGCTCAGGCAATCTACTCACCTCAGCCTCCCAAAGTGTGGGATTACAGGCTGAGCCACTGAGCCTGGCGGCCTTTATTATTTTGAGGTCTGTCTTCTCTTCATAATTTGATGAGAGTTTTCATCATGAAGCAATGTTGGATGTTATGAGATGCTTTTTCTGCATCTGTGGAGATGATAATATGGTTTTTGTTCTTTGTTTCTTTTTCTTTTTTCTTTCATTCTTTGTTTCTTTTTGCTTTGAGTTGGGGGTCTTACTGTTTCCCAGGCTGGAGGGCACACAATCATGGTTCACTGTGGCCTCAATTTCCTGGGCTCAGGTGACCCTTCTGCCTTAATCTCCCAAGTAACTGGGACCACAGGCTCATGCTACTGCGTACAGCAATTTTTTGTGTGTAGAGATCTTTGTAGTTATTGCTATGTTGCCTTGGCTGGTCCTGAACTCCTGGGTTCAAGCAGTCTTCTGCCTAGACCTTTCAAAGTCCTGGCATTACTGGCGTGAGCCACCACACCCAACCTGGTTTTCATTGTATTTATGTGAGTATTATCTAAGTGGTATCTTGTAGACTTTCTTTCCATTGTCATTGTTATTTATTTATTTATTTTTCTCTGATTGGGTTATTTCAAATAACCTCTTTTCTACTTTATAGTACATAAGAGAATTCACAACAAAGCTGTGCCTTGTGAATGCAGTGACTGTGAGAAATCTTTTGGCTCCAGCTCTACCTTCAATATACAACATAGAATTTACCCAGGGTTAGGGCCTTGTGAGTGTGCCGAAAGTGAGAAACTCTCTATCAGTAGATCTCATCTTGTTCAGTATCAGAGGATTCATCATGAAGAAAAGCCTTATGAGTACAGGTCATTTAGCTAGTTCTTCATCCATAAAGACACACTTGTTGAGCATCAAAGTCCACACTGGAAAAAAGTTTAAGTGTGGTGAATGTGGGAAATTCTTCAGCTATAATTCTCATGGCATAGAAGAGAATTCACAGTGGAACAAGGCCTCCCATGTTTAGGGAATGTGTGAAAGCAGACATTTCCACTTTGCTTGGCACATGAAAGTTCACACAGAAGAAAGGTCTTATAAAATGTTGTGTTGGCAAGAAAGCATACAGCTGAGGCCTAACCTCCTTAGTCACCGGATAATTCACACTAGAGCAAGTCCTAAAGAGTGGAGGAAATGTGCTGTCCCATCATTCAATATAGTGATTACAAAAGAGAAAAACGCTGTGAGTAACCTTGAAAATGAACTGTAAGCCGGAAGTTGAGCCTGGACATCTGCATTCACACCATGAGATTCCCTACAACTGTGTGGTCAGAAAACAATGGGGTCTTCATTTTTTTCCACTTGGTGGTTTCAGTGTGGATATGATTCAGCTCCTGCCTGAAAGATCTGAGCTGGGACTTGCTGTATGTTTCCAGAGGTCCTTCTTCATGGACAATGTTGACTCTCTATATGGTAGCTGAGATGGACTTGTCCAGCTGGCTTCCCATTCTGCCAACCTTAGAAGTGTGTGCCCTGTGATCTGATTTGTTCTGTTCATTGCATGGTATTGATTAAGAAAAGAAATAGGCTTTGCCAGCAGCATCACCCACTTAATGTGCCTCAAGAGGGAAAGCAGGATGGCTTTAGTCTAGTTTGGACTGTTTTGCAATGTTGCCCAAGCTCTCTTAGGAAAAACTGTAGAGAATTGTAGGACTGATCTTGTAACTTGGATGTCACATCAGCCCTAAGCTCACCCTTATGAAGGAGTTGATGTGACATCCTTCAGTACTCCTGGGAATAGCATGAGTTGAGTCTCATTTTCCCAGGGGATGTTTCTTATTCTGTCAATGCTGTTGAGTGGTAGATGTCTCCTATGACCTACCCAGAAGTCATTGCATCTGAAGTCCAAAATCTGGTAAGATATTTAAGATCCATAGGGGCTAAGTAGGCAACATAATAGGTACAGAAACACTGTATGTAGAAACACTGAGTAGCAGGTAGTGGTGGAGACTGATAAACTATAGGTAATAGGTGTACTCTAAAGAGGCATATACATATTTTACATGACTGTGACTCTGGGATGAGAGTGTTCTCATCTCAGGACCTACTGAGCTTTTTTTCCTTTGTGGCTGAGGTCAGTGTGATGACAAATAATCCGAAGGTTTTTGGAATCCTGTACCTCCCTGGGCTGTTGATCTTACATGGCTACCACTATAGAGGTAGGGTCCCTAGGCCTGCAAGAAGAGAGATATTGTAGTCCATGATGGGTCTTTTGTGACCCAGTCAGCGTTTGGGTAGTATAGCCTTCATTGTTTTCCAATTTTTGCTGCCACTGAAGCAGGACTGACTAAAGATATGGAAAGAGAAAGAGGACTGAATCGACATAAGGTTGATTGACCCAGATTTTTATATGGAAACATTTTCTTCTAAAGTCCTTAGTGACATAATTGGCATACAATAAAGTAGATATGTTGAAGTTATACAATTTGAGAAATTTTGACATGTATTTACCTATGACATAACCACAGTTAAAAACTAGGATATTAACCCCAAGAATTTCCTCATGCTCTTTAGCTATCTCCTGGTTTTATCGTTGTAATTTCTCATCCCCATCTAACCACTGATTTTTTTTTTATGTCACTATATATTAGTTTACATTTTCTAGAAGTTTATATAAATGTAATCATGCAATATGTGTTTATTGCCTGTTTTTGAGTAAACAATTTAAAAATAGATTTTTGGGTACAAGTGCAATTTTGTTAGACTGACATAATGGCATAATGGTGAAGTCTGAGCTTTCAGCATAACCACTACACAAATAGTGCATATTGTACCCAGTGGGTCACTTCTCATCCCTAAATCCTCTTTCATCCTCCTACCTTTTTGAGTCTCCAGTGTCTACTACCCCACTCTCTATGTCCGTGTGTATGCATTATTTAGCTCCCACTAAGTGAGAACATCTAGTATTTGACTTTCTGTTTCTGACTTCTTTCACTTAATATAATGGCCTCCAGTTCCATCCATGGTACTGCAAAAGATGGAATTTCATTGTTTTTTTTTTTTAATGGCTGAATAATATTCCATTGTGCATATATACCACATCTTTATTTCTGGAGTAAAACCCAAGTGGTTGTAGGGCATTATCATTTGGATGTGCTGTTGAATTCAGTTTGCTAGAATTTTGTTGAGGATTTTTGCATCTATTTTCTTTTTCTTTCTTTCTTTCTTTCTTTTTTTTTTTTTTGAGTCAGAA